GATACATAAATAGCTGTAGTGCCTCCTCCACCATGAGTCCTTTAGATCGGTAAAATATGGTTGATGTTCAGTATGTTTTCCAGCTATCAATGTTGATAGATGCACCCCTCTATTTTGAGTGACGAAGCCAACCTGGGGCACACAACCCTTTCACCATCCGAGTTTGGGTGTCCTCTCTGCCCCAGATTTAAAACCAAAAATGAGAGCGCGATCCAGAGGCACCTGAAAAACCATACGGAAAATGCAGTTCATTTCCATGGTATATTGATGAGAAGTATCTGTTTGAGATCATATACTTCTACATGTAACAGTAATGTTTAATGATATTTGTTTGGGACAAAACAAGACATTTTAGGCTGCATCTTGGGATTTGTGGAACAGTGGTTGACATTTTATACCATTTTCTTACATTTTATAGACCAAAAAATTAAATTATTTTACTGTTTTTCCCTTTTTTTCCCCTTTGTTTTTTTCTACTTTTGAGATTGATATGGATATCTGGAATAAAAAGTTGTTCACAAAAAAGAGAACTCCAATTCTACTTCTTTATGTTGCCAGTACAATAGTGTAATGTTGTGTTTACATGTGTTCCTGAAATATAATAGAATACATCTGACAATATGACAATCTAATTATTACGTTCATTTAATAGTTAAATAGTTACAATTAACCATACTGATGTAAGAGTAAGTATGACATTTGTTGTGTCCATGGTTTTCAGTTGTTTTGAATGACATGGTAGTAATCTGCATGTTGCAACTGTAGCCCAATAAATGAAAGTGCTCACCGTATTTAATCTTTGTTAAAAATTCAAATCTGCAATTTTTGTAGGTTTAACTTGTTGGGGTCAATGTTATTCCAAACAAAACATGATTATATTTAAAATTGCTTAAATAATTGTAGTATTATTTTCATTTATTTTATAATATACAGTACAGGCCAAAAGTTTGGACACACCTTCTCATTCAATGCGTTTTCTTTATTTTCATGACTATTTACATTGTAGATTCTCACTGAAGGCATCAAAACTATGAATGAACACATGTGGAGTTATGTACTTAACAAAAAAAGGTGAAATAACTGAAAACATGTTTTATATTCTAGTTTCTTCAAAATAGCCACCCTTTGCTCTGATTACTGCTTTGCACACTCTTGGCATTCTCTCCATGAGCTTCAAGAGGTAGTCACCTGAAATGGTTTCCACTTCACAGGTGTGCCTTATCAGGGTTAATTAGTGGAATTTCTTGCTTTATCAATAGGGTTGGGACCATCAGTTGTGTTGTGCAGAAGTCAGGTTAATATACAGCCGACAGCCCTATTGGACAACTGTTAAAATTCATATTATGGCAAGAACCAATCAGCTAACTAAAGAAAAACCAGTGGCCATCATTACTTTAAGAAATGAAGGTCAGTCAGTCCGGAAAATTGCAAAAACTTTAAATGTGTCCCCAAGTGGAGTCGCAAAAACCATCAAGCGCTACAACCAAACTGGCACACATGAGGACCGACCCAGGAAAGGAAGACCAAGAGTCACCTCTGCTTCTGAGGATAAGTTCATCCGAGTCACCAGCCTCAGAAATCGCAAGTTAACAGCAGCTCAGATCAGAGACCAGATGAATGCCACACAGAGTTCTAGCAGCAGACCCATCTCTAGAACAACTGTTAAGAGGAGACTGCGCCAATCAGGCCTTCATGGTCAAATAGCTGCTAGGAAACCACTGCTAAGGAGAGGCAACAAGCAGAAGAGATTTGTTTGGGCCAAGAAACACAAGGAATGGACATTAGACCAGTGGAAATCTGTGCTTTGGTCTGATGAGTCCAAATTTGAGATCTTTGGTTCCAACCGCCGTGTCTTTGTGAGACGCAGAAAAGGTGAACGGATGGACTCCACATGCCTGGTTCCCACTGTGAAGCATGGAGGAGGAGGTGTGATGGTGTGGGGGTGTTTTGCTGGTGACACTGTTGGGGATTTATTCAAAATTGAAGGCACACTGAACCAGCATGGCTACCACAGCATCCTGCAGCGACATGCCATCCCATCCGGTTTGCGTTTAGTTGGATGATCATTTATTTTTCAACAGGACAATGACCCCAAACACACCTCCAGGCTGTGTAAGGGCTATTTGACCAAGAAGGAGAGTGATGGAGTGCTGCGGCAGATGACCTGGCCTCCACAGTCACCGGACCCGAACCCAATCGAGATGGTTTGGGGTGAGCTGGACCGCAGAGTGAAGGCAAAGGGGCCAACAAGTGCTAAACACCTCTGGGAACTCCTTCAAGACTGTTGGAAAACCATTTCAGGTGACTACCTCTTGAAGCTCATGGAGAGAATGCCAAGAGTGTGCAAAGCAGTAATCAGAGCAAAGGGTGGCTATTTTGAAGAAACTAGAATATAAAACATGTTTTCAGTTATTTCACCTTTTTTTGTTAAGTACATAACTCCACATGTGTTCATTCATAGTTTTGATGCCTTCAGTGAGAATCTACAATGTAAATAGTCATGAAAATAAAGAAAACGCATTGAATGAGAAGGTGTGTCCAAACTTTTGGCCTGTACTGTATGTATATACATATATCTATGTATTACTTTGCACAGTGATGCAATGTGGGGTGGGTTGGAAGTGGGTTGGGGTTTATAAATGGCACATCTAATAGGGTGGAATTGATGTCTTCTACTACTGTCTGCTGCCCAAAATTTCAATAAAAAGATTAATAAAAAAAAAACAGTAATTTTTAGTAATGACAAGCAGCATTTATGTGCATTATCTTATTTATACAAGCACTCTGAGCAGTCAGAAGCAGGTGTAGAGTTTGTTAGTACCTACGAAAGAAATGAAGCTACTAAGATATTGATGAATGCCGAAATACATGTAAATTTTGTTCTGCTAACAGTTTACACAAAATTTCGTTCTGCTTATGTTTCATGAATGAGACCCAATAAGTACACCTGCTGTATTAAGGCAACCTCCAAAAAAACATTTTAATTAAATAAAGATATAAAGGATGACACAAGAAGGCAACACAACTAAAAGCAGCAACAATGAGTGTAAAGTCAGAGATTCATGTGAGCCTTAAGTTCCCCTAATGACTTGTTTTCAGTGTCTGGTTTAAACAGGAAATGTGTCATCACCACTTGACCACTTACTGTGCACTGCGGGTAGACTGCATACACACAGTACATGCACAAACTCAGCATATGAGCATAGTGATGAGATGAATGTATTCATTTGTGACACCTGGTTCAGTCACTGTACACTCACAGAGACAAAAAGATGGCTTTACTGATGGTGTTACTGAATTAGCAGTAGATAATGATGTGTTTCATATGCATAGAGGAGGTTTCACCACTTTCACCATGCTCTCACAGTGCTGTAGTCTAAGCAGTCACTCTTGTTGGAGTGGAACAGAAAAACCACTAAGAGGATGTGATCACTTCCTCACTTTACTCTCTACTGCTGATGCTGGCTGTCTCTCTCTGCCTTTGCAACAATGGTATGTTCTCTATACAATCACTTCACTGAAGACATGAATGTTTTTGTTCAGTTTGGTTTTCTGCATGGATGTTTGAAGATTTTGTCAGTCCAGATAAAAATGGTTGATTTCATCCTTGTTGAATGCATGCCACTGATGGAGACTTTTTATTGTGTTTGGTATGTGTGTGTGCATGAAGAGAAACAAATCATGATGTCATATTTCTCATATCATAACTGCTTCAGAGTGAATGGAAACAGAAGCTTTCAGTTACTTTGGTGTTTTTTTGTTTGTTTTTTGCCAGCATGAAATCGTTTCAGATTGCATTCACATCACAGGTAACGGAATACTACACCCACAAAATTACCATTTATAATTTGTCAATTAGTCATGCTGTGTTACCTTGAATTTGTGAGAAAAAAAAAAACATTGCTTTTCTTGCATTCCTCTAAGGAAAATAGTAAGCATATTGATTTCCTTATCGAATGATTGGGGACCACTTTTAATAACAGTAAAACTATATCAAAATAACCATTTACAAACTGTCACACAACTCAATGTATTTCTATAGAACAGTTTGTATGATATCATTCGAAACATTTTTTTCTGACCCTGCCTCCTTACAAGAGCTTGGGACTGCTACTTTGTTTTCTGCCATCAGCATATTGGTCACGGGATCAAGCCTTTAGAAATATGTGGGATATGTACAAATTTGGGTGCATTAGTTTTTTATAGAAAAACAGACAAAAATATTAGGAGAACAGATTGCATAACTTGCACAACTTGTGATGTAAAATCCAAGTCTCCTTCACAAACACATGCATTTTTTTCGCCAAAACATTACTATATAAAACTAACTGCAAGCAAAACTCCTCTATGATTTCTTCAAAGTCAGACTCCAATACTACATTTTTGTGAAGTACTGAGCATATTGTAGATGATATGATAGATGAGACTTGGATTATACTGCACAAGTTGTGTGAGAGTTTGTAAATGGTTGTTTTGATATTGTTTTGCTGTCGTTAAATGTGGACCCTAATCAATCAAGAAATAAATGTGTTTGCCATCGTCCGTAGAGGCATACGAGAAAAAAAAGTTTTCCTCATGAATTCAAGGTAACACAGCATGACTAACTGATTTAGAAATGGTCATTTTGTGGGTGAAGTGTTCTTTAAACAGGATACAGACTATAGTCATAAAAACTAGACCAGCAGGTTTTTTACTAATTGCCTCAACACACTACGAGCTGGAGAGGGAAGCACAAAAGAGGGATGTGAATGTGAACAGAGAAAGGGAAGTGGAGTGAAGCTTTAACTTTTTACAGCTGGAGCTGGCCCCTTTCTTGTAGCAGTAGTGAAGCCCTTGGGGAAGAACTAGATGTGGTGAGTAACAAGGCTATGGGTGGGAGGGAGCATCAGACTGACTGAAGGAGGAGCCTGAAGAGAAGAGAGCCAGCCAAAAGGAGGGGCACAGATAGGCTTGGCAGATGTGTTTTGAGAGAACACGAGACAGGAAATGCCTGCCGGCTGCACAGACAATCAACTTTTTCACTTTTCACTCTCTTTCTTTCACTTTGATTAATTTCTCGTGGAGTGTGTTGGAAACCTCCCTGCTGATGTTATGGATAACTTCCAGACTGTCCTGCGTTTCTTTATGAACCAGAAAGCCACCATTGGTTACAGTTTCATGGCTCTCCTGACTATAGGTGGGGAGCGAGTCTTCTCCATGGTTTCCTTTCAGTGCCCGTGCAACCATGACCAGAACTTTGCCTATGGGCTGACTTTCCTGCTGGGCCCGGCTGCAGTGCTGCTGGTTTTGGGTCTCTTCTTCAGCACCAGATTGTGGAGGCTCTATACCGGCTGCTGCCTTGATTGCATGAAGCTGTGCCCCCGTGGGAACTGCTTTGGCTGCCTCAGGGTGTTCCTTAGCATCTTCACTGGAGCTTGTGTGGCTCCTATAATGTGGCTCTCTGTGGCCCTGCTCAATGGAACCTTTTATGAGTGTGCTGTCAGTGGTCTTGATGATAACCTGGTCGTGGATCTGTTCTGTAAAAACAAAACTTTGAAATGTAGGGAGGAGCTTGCCCGAGTGCCCTGTGACCGGTCCAATCTGTCCAGTGATGAGCGCATGGAGCTGCTGCTAATGTTGAGGGCTCAGTCACAGGTAAGAGACACTCACCTGTATCTGTGTGAAGGAATGAGATGGTATTTACTGCATGAAGTGGCAATGCGGGAAATGACAATTTTTATTTTTATTTTTTTTACAACTTATTATGTCCATTACTGTATGTTGCAAGAGATTACAGTTATATATGTCATGTTGCTGTACATGGACTGTAGACCACACCATGTAAATTTCATGTAACCAAAATGATATTGTCACACAAGGCTTACTTCCCATTGCCAGTAGGTGGCACAATGAGTATGACACCTATGGAGATAGATTTGTTATTATGTGTGTGAACAGATCAGCAATCTGTGTGTAAATGTGTAATCTGTAGGCTAAATATAAAACACCTTCCACAAATACAAAAAAAGATTTGTAAACTCACAAAAATATTTTGCAAGTATAAAATGGATCTGCAAATACACAAACACATTCCACAAATAAAAAAAAATATCTGTGAATACATTAAATTAATTTGCAAATAAATGAAAAGCATTTGTGAATATCTTCCTAACATTTACAACTTTAGAACAGGCATTTGTTTGTGAACTCTTTTTTATTTGTGAATCGAAAATACATTTGTGCATCTCAGTTCTATGCGTGTGGATTTGCTTTTTACACACACAGAGTTTTGAAACAAACTTTCCTCTGGTCCGAATGAAAATGCACATGTATCACTCTGCCATTTTCGGATAGCACGTGATCACCCAGATGATGACGTTGTTTCCGCACGTCAAAGTAAGAGCACGCAGTCTTTCTATGAGCTGTTTTTTTTTTTTTTTTAAATAATCAGCGATAAGTAACGTGCATTCATTGTTTTATGTTAATGTCATACAGTGCGTATTAGTGTGTGTTTATTTGTTCTATGTATATTATCTGGCACACACTTTTCAATACATTTCTGTTTGAGTATGAAAGGCACGGCCACACTAGTGGGCAACGTTCTCTAAGGTGGCTTGGCTGCTTCTTCAGTTGGCAGTTATCAGCCAACTCATCCTTTATATTTTTCATTTATTTTTTCGAGTAGGATTAAAGTCACAAAGCATTCACATGGTATTATTAGTGTACACTTAGTAATGTAGTTGTAATGTGTGTGCTGACCGCACCGTGGCTCTGGGTCAGCTGGGAAAGGCTTGAGGCAAAGCAGGCTCACAGCTTATGTGTTTGCCACTTTCTTTTTCATTTTAACCCACACCATGATCTTTTCCTGACCCTAACCAAGTGGTTTTTGTGCCTAAACCTAACCAGACCTTAACCACAGGGCATCATGATGATTTCGGAACGGACTTCGGAACAATGGGTTTAATATGGTCGGAACAATGGGATGTCGGACCAATGGGCTGTCGGACTTGGGCAATTCCCGTTGCCACTTGTCATCATATCTTACAACAGTTAGAGTGCAACACACACCGCCGCCATACGCCGCACGTCAAAACGCCCGCCTCCATTATATTCTATGAACCAACCCACACTGGCGCTGGCCAACGCGCCGCGCCGCTCTGCTTCAGCCCACTGCTCTATTTCCAGCACGGCCGGCGCTCATGGCGGCGCTGCGAGAAAAGCCTTTTATGTACGTTTCGGCCGCCGTAGTATCAACTCTGGTTGTTTCAAATTTTTAATAAGACGACTTTCATAAGAAACTCACCCGTGACTAGCAGTTGGCAACCGTTGGCAACTAGTGGTACAGCCATCTAGAGGGCTGGGGTGGGAAATACACGTCAACGGTGCCGCTGCCAGTGTGTGTTGGGGGGCGGCATTTGACGGCCACAGCGCCGCGCTGGCGGCGGTTTGTGTTGCACTTAACGTAACCTCACTGAAACGATGTAACCTAACTAAACACGGTGCGTTCAGCACAGACATTACAACTACATTAGTAAGAGTACACTAATAATAAGATGTGAATGCTCTGTGACTTTAATCCTACTCGAAAGAATAAATGAAAAATATAAAGGATGAGTTGGCTGATAACTGCCAACTGAAGAAGCAGCCAAGCCACCGTGCCTTTCATACTCAAACAGAAATGTATACAAAAGTGTGTGCCAGAAAATATACATAGAACAAATAAACACACACTAATACTCACTGTATGACATTAACATAAAACAATGAATACACGTTACTTATCGCTGATTATTAAAAAAAAAAAAAAAAAACAGCTCATAGAAAGACTGCGTGCTCTTACTTTGACATGCGGAAACGACGACATCAGCTGGGTGATCACGTGCTATCCGAAAATGGCCGAGTGATACGAGTGCATTTTCGTTCGGACCAGCGGAAAGTTTGTTTCAAAACTCTGTGTGTAAAAAGCAAAGATGTAAATGTTAGGAAGATATTCACAAATGCTTTTCATCTATTTGCAAATTAATTTAATATATTCACAGATTTTATTTTATTTGTGGAATGTGTTTGTGTATTTGCAGATCCATTTTATACAAAACTTATATTTTTGTGAGTTTACAAATCTTCTTTTGTCTTTGTGGAAGGTGTTTTATATTTACACATTACACATTTACACACAGATTGTTGATTGGTTCACACACATAATTATGAAACAAATCTATCTCCATAGACACCTAATTGGCAATTATTGTCCTCAGGGCTGGACGCTTATGAGACTTGAAATTTGAAATGGATTGGATAATGTAGGCTACACACAAGTTAAACAACTTCCTGTTTCACGGCAAATAATGTGTCACCGTGGCAACAGTGTTCAATGAAGACACAATATTAACAACGAAGCATCAAGGTTTGACGGCTTTTCTTACCATGTTTGAGCGAGATGTAGTCAACCCATTAGGAGGTGTACATTAAAGAAAAATCATGTGATTTCAGTCAGTAGGTTCGCTGTGACTATAACTCAGCATTGGTATGTAGATGTCATGAGGCTGGGACTCTTATCAAGCATAACGCATTTTGGGGCAGTTGGACAGTGTAGCTATGCTCAAATTATAGCAACTTCCTGTTTTATGATGAAATGTGCAAAATGGCTGCCACGCCACAGCAACACTGTTCAGTGAAAACTCACAATTTTCACAAGAAAGCATCATCAAGGTCTTGAGGCTTTTCAAAACAAATTTTAGGTGGATCTGTTCAACTTGCAAGGACTACATTGTAAAGTATGTAATTTCCTGGCACCAGTCGTGGAGCTTTAACTATAATTAAATATTGGCATATAGATGTATTCAGTTCACAACTCTGATCAAACCTGTAAAGTTTGGGGCAGATTGGACCATGTACAGTGGAGTTACAAACAACTTCCTGTTTTGTGGGGAAATTTGATGCCCCACCACAGCCACACCATTTGACAAAAAACTTAAGCTTTAAAAAAAATTCATCTTAAAGGTCTTGGATCTTTAGATAGCACACACCAAAGTCAATCAGGTCAAATCTGTATGAGGAATTTGTTAAAGTATGACCCCTGTAAATGGCCAAAAGCACTAAAATGGCATGAATTGCTGACTTCCTGTTTGGTTTAGGGTATGGCCTAAAGCTTAGTTCACGTTACACGATTTTCACTGCAATTTTGACGTCGCAGATGATCTTGAGAGCCACCTTGTGTCGGAGGTGAGTCGGCAGATAGTCTGCCACGACAAGTCCTCAAGTGTGAACAAGCCTACGAGCAAGTCGCTCCCTCGTCTGGGACTGGATATCTGGCATACTAGAAAACAGGAGAAGTGTGACACGACTGACAAAGAGCATCAGCCAATGAGAGGCGGGATAGGTCCCACGTCAGCACGCAGGAGGACTGAAGAAATGTGAAGAGGACAAGCCGCAGGGTTGCCACTTGCCAGGTCTGCTTATTAGCCGCAACTTTGGGCTTGTTTCTAAAGTGGAGTTGCTTATTTTGGCTTGCTCTCTAAACGTCACCTTTCTCTATATAAATCCATCTAATAAGTTATTTAAACACATGATAGTCACTTCTTCTGGGCTTGTTTCCATAGCCCTGGTTGCTTATTTCTCTCCCAAGATCTGGCAACACTGACAAGTCGGTAAACAACAACAACAATGACGGCGTCCACAGGATCACGGGGAGTGTGTTGTGTTTGGACCCAGGCCCTGGAGGCAGGTCTGATTCAACACTCCAAGTTTGGTGACGTCACTGCGTTATCTGGGGCTCTGTCGGCGAGGGCTCGGTGGAGAAATCTTGTGGTGCGCACACACAGGTCGTAACGCAGTTGGCGAGACTCCTGCTGACAGAAACACACGTCGTCAGGTATGATCACTCAAAAGATTACAATAGTCTCCGTGACTCAAAATCAGGGTGAAAATCGTGTAATGTGAACTAGGCATAAGTCTTAGTATGTTACAGTAGACTGGGAGGGTTCCAATCCCCCGACTTCCGCTGGGGCCCTTCTGTGCGTAGTTTGCATTAATTGGTGACTCTAAATTGGCCATAGGTGTGAATGTGAGTGTGAATGGTTGTCTGTCTCTATGTGTCAGCCCTGCGATAGTCTGGCTACCTGGCCAGGGTATACCCTGCCTCTCGCCCTATTGTCAGCTGTGATAGACTCCAGGTTACCCGTCGAGCACTGGTTGGTGCTCAGGTCCTAATAAATAATAATAATAATAATGATGATAATAAAAAACATGTATGTATGACCTTCAAAGTGTTAAGTGTTCATCAGTACATATCAATCTTGTATGTCTGCAGATCGTGGGCTGGTGTATTATTATCATCACTGCCATTGGAGCCCTCCTAGGTACCTGCTTCACAAACTGTCGCTCCAAAGTCAGCTACCTGCAGCTGACATTTTGGAAACGCTACGTGGATAAAGAGAAGGAGCATTTTGATACTTTTGCTGTGGAATACGCCACCAAACTGGCCGAGAGAAACCTGCAGAGTTTCTTTGAGAACAAAGACCCTGATCCATTCCCTTTCCCCAACCACAAGGCATGGGAGGAGATCTCTGCATACTACACCTTTTCCAGGAGTGAGGAGTATTACAGCACCCTGCAGTGCTACGTGGAGAAGGCAAACAGGGACTTCACACCAGAGAAGAGACCTGTATTGAGCTTTGAGCATGGAATAGAAATGCATTAAGAAAGACCAGGGATCGCTTGCACAAAACAACTTAATTTTTCTCCTTAAGTGTGACACTTAAGGCTTAATTTCTCCTTAGCTGAGGGACTTACACAGTTGCATCGAATTCCTTGAAAGGTTTTCTCAGTTAAAGAAACGTTAACTCATTTACTGCATTGAAAGAGATTTTACAGCAGTAAAAGTCTCCATGGAGATTGTTTGTTTGCTTGGATGCCTGTTTCACTCATGATGCATGTTATTGTCTCACAAAGTTGGCTTATAGTAAGATAGTGAAAAAATGGTAGAAGAAAAGAAGAGAAGAAAACCATACTGGTCAGAGGAGGAACAGATTGTAGTTCCGGAGAAATACAAACCTAGAAAACACATACTACAGAGTAAATTTGATCCCCAAATACCAGAAAACAGAAAACAATTGTAGGATGAAATTGCAGTGACAGTTACCTCTATAGTTTAAAATCAATATGGTTCATCACCATAAACTTAGTAAGTAGCAGTTAAGATAGAGTCAGAGGTACCTTAAGTTTTTTTGTTTCTTTGGGTTTTTTTTTTTTCCGGGGTCAAAGGATTCCTTAAGTATAAGACCAAGACAAGGGGAAACCATAAACACTTGAGTGAACATTTTAAGGAAACCTTAATGAGAAGACTTAAGGGTGTTTTGTGCAACCAATTTAATTTCAGGAAACCTTAACTAGGAAAGGAATATCTTTACTTAAGGTGTTTTGTACAACTGCCTCCATACTGTGGTGAGACTATTAGATACTCATCACTCTTGGTATGTAACTCTTAGTCTATAGTATATGCAAGCATGACTTGGGAGAAGCTGTCCTAGGCTGCCTCTTCACTGACAAAGCTGCCCTTTCACTTTGTTTTACTCCGAAGAATGTGACTATTTGCAAGCTGCAATGGTACAACCTGTAAGCACGTGAAATAATTCAGGGCATAACCACTACTTTTTTTACACACTACTTCTCACTGCCTCTGTAACACTGTATGCATTTAAGCCCCCCTAGTACTAACAAATTTTGACTCACTTTGGATTTGCAAAGTAACTTGTTGGTTCGTGTTGTGTTTGTAAACAGGCTTAAAGTGAAAGTCAACCCAGATTCACTCTCATTTTGGAATGACCTTTGTCCACTTGCCATTTTGCCTCACTATATTTGCTTTTTTCCCAGCGTTGTGTCCATGATTTTCATAGCTTTCTTGTGGATGCATGCTCCTTACAGTCTCGTATCTGGTCACTACCTTTTTATAAAGCCTACACCATCCCTGCTTTTGTGCCCAAATTCCTCACTTGATTCATGTCTCTCTCATGCACCTTTTGATCAAAGTCAAGTCAAAATGCTTTCTTTGTTTCTTTCTTTCTTTCTTTCTTGATTCTCCTTTCTCGGGGAAAGACATGACAGTGTACGTTGGTGCCACAGCAGCAAAAGCAGTCTCTTCCTTGGCTCCACGTTAGACAAGGAAGAGACTGCAAATCCTAGTGCAAATGATTTTGCAACCTCAGAGAGTTTTCAGTGTTTTTTAAATGCAAAGTTCAGCCTTTTAATCAATATATCTAGCCAATTTGACTTTAGTCATGCCAGTGTTTACTTAGAAATAAAATACCACAAAGGAAACCCAACTTTCCAGGCTTTTTTTAGGGCCCCTCTCCCATCGGGGCCCACTTTCCCCCCACTTTGATGCCCCTGGAAAGGAGATCTCTTTTCCTCATTGACAGACAAATCTGTCTTGACCAAATAGGAGTCTTTGCATAATCTGTTACTTCCTGAAATACTTAGGACACTTTTGATATTATAAGCAGTGATTTACTCAAAACTAATTTTTGATTGAAGAAATATGTTCATGTAAATGCAGCAAGGCAGATGTATAGGCCAAGAGATCTTTACAGTAGGTCTCATTCACTCAGAGATAATTTAAGATAACAGGAACAGTCAGTCAGTCTGTCTCTACAGTGCAGCACATGAAATGTTACGTTTAAGTGTTTCAAACATCAGGTGTAAATTGCATGTTTGACAGGCGGGAAAAAAAGTACTCTGAACGTGAAGAAACATGTATCCAAATTAAGATAGTTTTGCAGTGCTGTCTGTTGTGTGTTTAACAGCTTGTTTGTGCCTTCTCTGCAGATGGAGGTGGATGCAGACGATAAGCGCCATCGAACACGCTCCAAAGGTATCTGCACGTACACACACACATACACACAGCGGCACTGCCATTCAGGGTGACCTTCACTCCCCCAACACAAACACACGCATGCACAGACACAGGCACGCACATGTGTGTACACACACCACTGCACAAATCCCAGACTGTCACAGTTGAGTTGCCTCTTCTCACTGCTCTCTGTCTTCCTCTGACGCTGTTTTTATATATCTCGCAGAAACAGAATCACAAAGTCCACATTTTAAGAGCTTTGTTCAAAATGAAATATCTACCACAGTGACATCTAATCCTACAAAATGATACATGGAACAAAGTGAAAACAAATGATGGAACTTTTTTAAGGAAAGAACAGGTAGCTCCCAGTTTCAGCTGATAAACTGGTGACACTCTTTTTCTTATTTTATTAGTTAAAAAAAAAATTCTTCCGAAACAGGTGTTAACAAGATTTGATTACAGTGAATATATCCACATAACCAAGGGCAAAATCTTTATTAGTGGTAGGTAGAGCTTTATAAAACACACACACACACACACACACACACACACACACATTCAAAAAAGCATCAGTGGATATTATTTACCTGTTTCTGAACATTTAAAAACACCCGACCAGATGTGTTCATCAAGAGCAATAACACACGGGTTCATATTTAGCTTATGCATCAGTGAGGCTGCAATTTAAACAGAGGGTATTTAACCTGGGTAGCAGACCTGTGAGTGATCCAACCTGCAGGATGTGAGGACACAGAACTGGAAAAATTTTAGCATGTGCTCATAAGCCACATCCACAATCAGCATCAAGCGGGAGGAATTCATTGTTGGTTTAGCACTGAACATTGAAGAACATTAGCTTTCTTCTGACTTTTGGAGGCATTTGATTGGTATGGCTTTGTGTATTTATACCAAACCATCACAGTACGGGGGTCACAGTCTGGTGCACACAGCTATACGTAGAATACACGGTATGTAAACTGAGGCAAGTTATATACCTAGAACAGAAGTTTACAAACGAAAGAGGCATACGCTGGGGTTAGTGCAACAAATAGAGTGGCATGGGAGTCAGTCACACTATGGTGAGTGCAAATGAACACTGGAACTGTAAGCTGGTTTTGAGTGAGTTTCAACAGCAACGGAGGGAGAGCTGAGTGTAAGACAAGGACGGTGTTTCGGTGTTGCGCCATTCTTGTAGGGAATGTGAATGGAAACATGTCTAACACGCCAACACACATTCAGTGGCATCCCCCAGATGTGCCAATCACCGAGATGATAAATGTTTGAGTGCTCTGCATGTGTTAAACATAGCCACATTGGAACTAATTGAAAGAGTCCTCCTTTTCATTTTTTTTT